TATTTAAAAATGTTTAAATTTTGAGCTAAAATTATAAAGTTATAAAGCTTGGCCAGAATTAATAATTACCGCAGTATACAATCATTTGGTTTTCGGAAAATATTTTCTGTTGATTCAAATTTGGTCATGATAATTCCTTTTATATCCTACAGAAAAAAATTTTTTTTCTTTTTAAAAAAATAAATAATAATAATGGATGTTAATAGCCATGAAAATGACCTAATAGAATCTGAATATAACAAATTAAATGTATCAGAAATTAATAAATGTATTTATTGTGATAAACCATTTACAGAGAAATTATGGTGTAAAGAATGTGACCCTTGTAAAGGATGGACTAGCGGAAATTCTGATATTGATAAATTCATTAAAGATACATTGAATAATGCAAATACGAAAAAATATGAAAAAGATCAATATCCAAAATTTCTTGAATGGGTGCCTTTTAATAGATTCACAGATATAAAAGAAATTGGTGAAGGAGGATTCGCAAAAGTGTATTCTGCAACATGGATCGATGGTATATTGGAATTTAAAAAGCATAAGAAGGTTGCTTTGAAAAGGTTAAATGGATCACAAATATGTCAGCCAATTATTTTAATGAGGTATTTACATTTATATTTGATATTTTTTAATTAAAAATATATTACAAAAACTAGCTTAAAGCACATTGGGATTTTTATAAATTCGATGAAGGTTCATTAAATTTTTATGGAATAACTAAGAATCCAGAAACCAAAGAATTTATTATGATCGTGCAATTTTTACATGGTGGAAATCTTAGAAATAGTCTTTCAAATAATTTTAACAAAATTTTATGGAAAGAAAAATTGAAAAATTATGTCATATTAATGAAGACCTAACTACTTTACAAAATTTAGGATATTATCATAAAGATTTTCATAGTGGAAATATACTGCAAAATGAAGTAGCTTCTTACGTTTCAGATTTTGGATTAACAGGACCAGCAGATAAGCAAAATTTGAATAACAAAATATATGGAGTATTACTATATATTGCTCCAGAAGTCTTGAATGGAGGATTATATACCTTAGCTTCTGACATTTACAGTTTTAGTGTAATTATGGCTGAATATTCAACCGGAAATCCTCCCTTTTATAATAGAAAACATGACGTTGAAGGCGTGATCCATGCTGCGCCGATCAACTACAACCAATCATGTGATTTGAAATGTTTGGCCGATCTGA